TCAGGGTCTCTTCTGAAATCCACTTGGGTCTTTGCTTTCTTTTCTGTCTTTATAATGGCCTTTTGCTTTCTTCATGGATGATGTTCTTGAGGTGATCCTACAATCCCTCTGGTCTTTGGTCATTAGTGTTCCATTTGTCAAGTCTGTTCTGGAGATGGTCCCTAAATTTAGGTGAGATATACTGAAGGTCGTATTCGGGCTCTCATGGACTTGTTTTAATTTTCTTCACCTTCAACCTGAACTTGCATATAAGTGATTGGTGGTGTATCCCAAAGTCTGCCCATGGCCTAGTTTTGGTTGATGATATTGAGCATCTCCATCAGCTCCTCCCATAGATGTAGTCAATTTGATTCCTGTGTATTCCTTCTGGAATCACAATTTATGGTGTTGAAAAAAGGGTATTTTCAATAAGATGTAATTGGTCTTACAAAATTCCATCATGCGATCTCCAGCATCATTTCTATCAACAAGGCCATATTTTCCAACTATCAATCCTTCCCCTTTGTTTCCAACTTGTATATTCCAATCACCAGTAATGATCAATGTTTCTTGGTTGCAAGGTATGAAACTCAGACTGAAGAAGTTGGCTTTAGTGATTGATGCATAACGTTGAATAATAGTTGCACTAACTGGTGTTCCATGTTTGTTGTTGTTGTTAAGTGTGCCGTTGAGTCAGTTCTGACCCATATCAACCTTGTATGGGGTTTCCAATTAGAAGGTGGTGAGCTTGATCCATTGACCTTGCAGTTCAAACTGATTCTGCAGTCCAGAATTCAGCGCCACACCAGGACCCCATGTAGGCATATAAATATTATCCTATAAAAGACAGTATTCAGTTTCAGGATAGCTCTTGAAATGCTCATTTTGTTTGTTTGTTTGTTTGATAATGCGAATTGAGTGAAGGTTTACAGACAGGATCATCAGCTTTACATTCAACTAATCACACACTTTGTTTCATCTCAATGATTACACTCCCCTCCCTGCAACCACAGACATCCTACTTCCTTCCTCTGCTTCCTGTTTCCATTCCACCCACCTTCCCCCTTCCCAACATAGTCCTTAGGAAAATGTTGCCATTTTGATTTTGAATGACTGACCTTTCTATAGTGAGCATACTTCATTCATGTTGTTGGGCCTCCCCCTACAAAGCTATCTACTGTTTGACTGAAAATTGGGGGTACAAGGGTGAGTTCCTTTCCAAACCTAAAGTGTGCTCTTCTTGACGGTGAATGCCACACCATTCTAAACTTAAAATGAGCCCTTACGAAACCTGTCTCTTTCATTCACTGCCTTTAAGATTCCAGGGAAACTGCTGCTCTTCTGCCTGATATTCACTCAAGAAAAACAATTGAATAGATTCTTCAGCGATTGCATTTCTGAAGATACAATCAGTCAGGTCTTGAGGGTTTCTCCCATATTTACTGGCTGCTGTTTTACACACTATGTCTCAAGAAAACTTAGGAGGTGAATATCCATTAAATGTTGACTTTTATCTGTGACACTTTCAAATGAACTCTACAATCAAATTCTAGCATTACTTTGCTCTGTTATTATTGTTAAGTGCCATTGAGTCAGTTCTGACTCATAGTAACCCTGTATAGGGTTTCCAGGGAGCAGCTGGTAGGTTTGAATGGCCAACCTTATGATTCACAGTCCAGTGCTGGGCCTATAGCTACAGGGCCACACCAGGAATGTTCTAGTAGTACTTTGCTCTAGTAAGTAATTAAGGCACGGGTATATCACATGTCCGGTGCTAGCAGGAATGTCGGCACATTCATTTCAATGAATACTCACTATGTTGTCTTTATGCTGCGGTCTTGGTGTTATTTATGCATCGTTGTATTGTGCTTGTATAATACACACTGTCAAAATAAAAGTTTTTTATGGTTTAAATTAGCAAAATGTAGATAATTCTGAATTACAAATATTGTGATTTATGATCTTCATTTTTTTTTTTTTAAGAAAGCGATAGCTGCTATTCACCTGCAGCGGGTGGATGTTTTGTAGGATTGTGAATCTTCACATTATCCCAAAGAAACCAGAACTCCATGTTTTGTATGTCAAATCACTGATACTTATCTTTTTAAAATGTCATTTGTGGGCCAGCATTGAACTGGCCAAAGAAGCCCCACTGGAGAGTCTCTGTACTCCGGCCCCCAAAGTGGAGATCAGCTGTGACCCCTGCTGCCAACTCTCACCAGATTCCCAGCCAAAGCCGCTCCATGACTGTGGCTTCAGCTGGCCTTCACAGCTGAGGACAGCAGACCCTCTGAGGGTCCCCCATGGGCCTTCTGAGGCTGCTCAGAGGGGTCCAGCCACTCCTCTGGGACCTGCCTTGGCCAGAAAGTTCTTCTTAAAGCACAGTCCGAGGCCTCCATACCCCACCCCCACCCCCGTGCCCCTCAGGACACAACTTGGTTGCCATGCAACAGTTCTGGCTTCAGTTTGGAGCTCCCAAGGCTCAGGGTCAGGCTCTGTGTCATCTCCTGCTTACCCATATCTGGAGTGAGAGATGAAATGTTCTCAGGATGACTGAGTGTCTGGTTCAGAGTCCAGCTTGTCGTGGGGACCTCTAAAGCGTTTGAATGCACAGAAGCCATGTGGGGAGGCTGGGGTGGGAACCGTGAGTGTGAGCGTGTGCTTGTGTAATGTCTCTGCCCACAGGGGTCTCCTTTCTGCCCCCCACCTCCACCCTGCAGGCAGTTTCCTGTTTTTGTCATTTGTTTACTTTATTCTGTGGTTCCCCAGTTTCCCTCCTAAGAAATAACTACCTTCAGACACGTAAACACACACACTGTGTACATACAGTAGTAGTATTACTACACTTTGCTCTTTTTCCTCCTTTAGTTCTTAACTGCCATTCCTCTCACCAAGTTAGCACATCTACCCTCTAGCCAGTGAATAATTCTCCCTTCCCTCCCACCCCTGTAACCACCACAAAAGGTTTAGTACGGCAAGAAAACCTTTTCTTGACTTTTTATAAACAGTGACGTCATACCATATTTGTCCTTTTGTAATTGACCAATTTCACTCAGCGTCATCTCCTCCGGCTTCATCCATGTTAAGAGGTATTTTGCAGATTCATCACGATTTTTCAACGTTGTATAGTATTCCATTGTATGAGTGTAACAAAGTGTGTTTAACCATTCTTCTGGTGATGGGCATTTAGGCTGTCTCCATGGATTTTACTCTTATGAATAATGCTGCCATGAACACGGTTATCCATTATCTACCCATGCTGTCGCTCTAATTTCTTGAGGACATGTAACAAGCAGAGGAAACTGCTGGGCCACACAGTAATTCTATTTCCAACTTTTTGAGAAAGCGCCATGCCACTTTCCAGGGTGATGGCACCATTTTACAGTTCCACCAACAGTGCAGGAGGGTCCCAGACTCTTTATACCCTTGCCGGCTTTTCTTGTCTTCTGTTTTTTTATGTTTCACTATTAATGCTGGGGTGAGATGATATTGCATTCTTGTTTCAATTTGCATTTTCCTAATGGCCAATGATCATGGGCATTTCTTCATGTTTGTTGGCTGTCTACATGGCTACTTTGGTAAAGTGTCTGTTCATGTCCTCTGCCCATTTATTCAATTGAATTATTTGTCTTCTTGGTCTATAAATTTTAGAGAGGAGTCTCTTGTCTGATCCATCAATGCCAAAAATCATTTACCCAGTCTGTGTGTTCTCTTTTCACTCTTTCGGTGAAGTCTTTTGATGCACACAAGTGTGTACTTTCTTAAGGTCCCAGTTGTCCATTTTGTCTTCTGCTGCTTGTGTGTTTTGTTATGTTTGACAGCGCATTTACGCCATCTATCAGAACCCCTAAAAGTGTCCCTATTTTTCCAATGGTGATCCTTATAGTTCTAGATTGTTTATGTTCTTACACAGTCTTCCTAACATTGGACAACACTGTGAAGTATGATTATTCCTGAACACTTAATTGTGCTCATGAAGAACCTGTACATAGACCAAGAGGCAGTTGTTCAAACAGAACATGGGAACACTGAATGGTTTAAAATTATGAAAAGTGTGTGACAGGGTTGTATTCTTTCACCATACTTACTCAACTTGTATGCTGAGAAATAATCCGAGAAGCTGGATTACCTGAAGAAAAATGTGGCATCAGGATTGGAGGAGGACTCACTAACAATCTGCAATATGCAGATGATACAACCTTGCTTGTTGAAACTGAAGAGGACTTAAAACACTTACTGATGAAGATCAAAGAGCACCGCCTTCGGTATGGATTGCATCTCAATGTCAAGAAAACAACAAGCCTCCACTGGATCATGTAACATCCATATCAATGGAGAAAAGATTGAAGTTGTCTAAGACTTCATTTTGCTCAGATCAGCCATCAACACTCATGGAAGCAGCAGTCAAGAAATCAAATGACATATTGCACAAGACCTTGTTTAAAGTGTTCAAGAATAAAGACGTCAGTTTCAGGCCTAAGGTGCACCTGACCCAAGTCATGGTATTTTCAATAACCTCATATGCATGTGAAAGCTGGACAGTGAATAAGGAAGACCGTAGAAGAATTGATGCTTTTGAGTTATGGTGTTGGAGGAGAATGTTGAAAGTACCATGCGCTGCCAAAAGAACCAACAGATCTGTATTGGACAAAATACAGCCAGAGTGCTTCTTGGAGGTCAGGATGAATAGACTTCATCTCTCACACTTAGGACATATTATCAGGAGGGACCTGTCGCTGAAGAAGGATATCATGTTTGGTAAAGTGGAGGGTCAGAGAAAAAGAGGAAGACCCCCTGCAAGATGGACTGGCAAAGTGGTGGAAGCGATGGGCTCAGGTGTAGCAAAGATTGTGAGGTGGGCCCAGGACTGGGCAGTGTTCTGTTCTGTTATGCATACGTTCACTATGAGTCAGTACCAACTCAGTGGCACTTAATAACAATTTTTAAACATTTATGTGACCTTCTCAGGTGTTATACTTTATTACTGTTATCTTAGTTCTAGTTTTCCAAACTTGCATCCAATGTCTCTGTACAACCAATGTTCCTCAGGTATTGATTATAGAAATGTATTCTCTGCACCAATTGTTGGAGCAGGTTTTCCATTTGCTACTTACAAACTAGACAAAGGTACCTTGGAAGGGGGCTTCCTCCCCTCCCCTGAGAGCGCAGACTCTACACCAGCACCTTTCCCACCCAAGCAGAGATGAGGAACATTTACAACCATACATGCATTGGTGGTCGGAGCCCTAGAGCCCCATCCCTCCAGGCAGGTCCTAATGAGTCCTGTGGGGACCCCTCAGCCCTCTCTGGACCCTGCTCCATGCCCTTGCTCACTGACGCTCCACTGAGCAGCTCCAGCCCTCAGAGTCAGCTAGTTTGGGAACCATGGGGTCTAACTCACTCTCACTCTCTCCCCCTCTCTGCAGTATCCCCAGGGACCGTGGTCACACTGGGAAGCTGGGCATCCAAGGGGGTAGGGAGCATGTTCCATGTCCACAACATCTTCTCCCCAGCAGATGTCCTGAACCATTGGGACTTGGAGACAAGCCACACTGAGAGTCATGATGCCCCTGAAGCCCAGAGTTCAGGAACTGTGGTGGGTGACGTTGCCCTGGGGTAAGCTCTGCAGACGCCCAGCTCACTGACTGTGTGTCCCGCAGACACTCACCCCCTCTGTCCACTGGAGGCTGCCAAGGAACCAGGATGAGCTCATCAGTGAACAAAGCCTCCTCTGCTGACAATGTTGACGCACGTCTCATCAGGAGAAGCAGTGGGCACGCCGGATCCCACCGAGGCTTCCAGAGAAGGCAGGATCCCGTCCTAGTCCCCAGGTGCTTCCAAACATGAGCTCTGCCCAGGTTCCCGCTTCGATACGCGATGAACTGCTCTCCACAAGCGGGAGCATCTGGCCTGGTGTGGACTGTCACTCTGTGACATGCCCTCTTCACTGAAGAAGTGGAAGGAATTTTCCTCCTCTAGACACACATGCTGGTTGCTGTTCTGCTGTGGGGAAGGTCTGAGGGAAGGCCGAAGCTCAATTCGTTGGGCTTACGTGTTATTCACAAATGAAGTAAGTATGTATAGCGTTTTTCATGCCCTTCTTGTGGTTCCCTTGTATGATATGTATGTGAATGACTCTGCACGTGTGGTGTGAGTCTATGTATGTATGTATGTAGTTAGTGTGTGTGAATGTATATGTGATATGTGTCTATGTGTGGCATCTGTGTGTAGTGTTGTATCACTATGTGTGTACAGTGTGTGAGGGGAGTGTATGTGTGACTGTGTGTGGTGTATGTGGATGCTGTGTGTATCTGTGTGAGTGTGTGAGTGAGGGTGTGCATCATTATAGGTGTATAGTATGTCTGGTGTATGTGGGTGGTGTCTGTGTGAGTCAGTATATGTGTGTGTGTGTATTGTGTGTTGTGTGTCAGTGTGCTTTGTGTGTGTGTGATTGTGTGTGTCTCAGTGTGGTGTATATGGGCAAATGTGTGTCAGTATATGTGTGTATTGTTGTCAGTGTGCATGGTGTGTGTGTGTGTCTGTGTGGTGTATGTGTATGGAAAGCGTGTGTAAGTGTGTATCTGTGGGAGTATGTGTGTTAGTGGTGTGTGTGTGTGATTATGTGTGTGTCTCTGTGTGGTGTATGTGGGCAGCATGTGTAAGTGTGTATCTGTGGGAGTATGTGTGTTTGTGGTGTGTGTGAGAGAGTGTGGGTGAAGGACCATCTCTTCAGAGGTTTCTAAACTTGTCACTGCTGAGACCTCTTTACTGACAGCAGGCGGCACCCGCAGTTCAGGAGCCATGCTGGCCGCATTAACCCTGCTACAGCACATTTTCCACAGAAGCACCTAGTTGGCTGTGCTGTGAGAATTAAGACTTTGCTATCTGCTTTCAGCGGATAGAAGCCAATGCGGGGAGACGTTACGGGTCCAGAGACCCAGTGCTCAAAGGCGGCCGTCCACACCGTGCAGACTGGGGTGATGGTATTCGAACATTCCCTATGCATCAGGGATATGTTTAATGCACAGCACAGACACACACACACACACACACATTCCTTGTACTCAACTAGTCCTCGCAGCCACCTCATGAAATAAACATCACAATTTGCCTGTTACAAAGGAGGAAACTGAGGCTGAGAGAGGTGGAAGACACAGACTCATGGTCACTCAGCAGGTAATTACAAGTGTCCCCTGTAGGGGTCACTGGCCTCTTTAATTGCCTTCACCTGAGGCTGGCTCTACAGGCACGGTTTCTTTCTTAGATTGAATCAAAGCTCCTTTATACCAGGGGCTTCCAACCGTTGGTGGAAGGATATGAATTTGAGATCACGGAATGTTTCCACGAGCTTTTTGAAGGTCCTTGTACAGTCAATAAATGCTCAGGGAACACCCACAGGAACCAGGCACTATCGTGGCCTTTTGTCAGTGAGAAGGTCAAGAAGTTATCTTCAATCTCAGGGCATATCTCAAGCACGATTTCTGATTAACTTGATTCAGAAGCACAATTAGAACGCACTGGTGGGCCACCAAGGTGCCAGCAGAGGTCATCCCCGCTTCCCGGGCAAGTGGGTTAGCAGAAGCAGCACTGTGGGCTAATGCGCTGGACTGCAAGTCAGTTTGAACCACAAGGTTGGCGGTTCTCAAGCTCACCAGGTTGAAACCTTGAAAACCCTAGGCGGGGTCAGTATGGGACTTGACGGCGCTTCAGAGCAACAATGCATTATGACCTCACATTTTCCAAAGTTGCTTACTAGATGGTCAACCTAAATGCAGACACCCAATGGGAACAATCCAGACATTGGAACGACTGACAAGTCTCTGGGATGCTAGGGCAGTACATATGGGACAGGCAGGAAAGAGATTTTTGAAGGTGGGAATTCCAGAGGAGAGATAAGGACAATGGGGGATAGGGAGCGAATATGAGAAAAGGGGGGCAGGGAAGGAAAGGCAGGTGCATGCAGCCAAGATATGGTGAGTTACAGCAATGGCAACTCAGGGTCTCAGTGTTCAAGAGAAGAAGGGAGGGTCTAGTGAGAATCCCTGTTACAAGTAAAATACTGCTTCCTACTTGGACGACAAAGGCGCTCTGGTAGCGTAGTGGTTACGAATCGGGCTTCGAAGCTCAGGGTCAGCAGTTCGAAACTACCAGCTGTTCCACGGGAGAAAAATGAGGCTTTCTGCTCCCATAAAGATTTGCAGCCTCAGAAACCCTGTGCAGGGTCGCTATGAGTCGGAACCCACTCCACAGCACACAACAACAACAACAACATGGACGTCAACCACTCACACATCCAGTACTTCAGTGGAACTGAGGATTTGAAAATAGCTCTGGCTTTCAGAATGCTACAATGACTCACACCCCGCTCCCTTCTAGAAAACTTTGTCAGTTTATCAGATCTTAAATGTTACTTTTTGAAATGGAGGCCTCAGTGAGTATAGACAAGTTTGTTCATGTATAAAGAAATGACTTTGGTCTTGGATATTTACTCTGAAACCATAGAGATGCCGGGTGATTCATTAGTCATCAAACAAGCTGGCAACGTCCGAACTGCGCAAACTTGTAGGTCCATATAAAATACATGCTTAATGTTTCAGACAATGTCTGACAGTTACGTTGGGAGCTGGAATACAGTTATTATTTTTACATATGTCTTTCTTTGCCCTTCTCCCAGTTCTTTGGCAAATTTAATCCAGTTGGCTCCACTGGGATGCTTTTACTGTATATAGGATTGAAATAAAATCTGAGGGCGGAAGAGAGAGAAAACAGAAGTGGTTTTTCCATTGTTCAATAGCTCAACATTTGGGAAAGCCTTCCATTGTCATTATTTAACTTTTTGTTTGGTTTGGTTTGGTTACACCTTAGGAGAAATGTCCTTAATTGGATACAATTACAGTACTCACCAACAAAAGTGTTCATTTCCATCCCCTTTTGGGGTGTCTGCACCCCCAACTGTTACTTTGTTATTGTTGTTGTGTGCCATTGAGTCAATTCCAACCCATGATGAGCCCACAAGGCAGGGTAGAACTCTTGGGTTCCCAAGGTGGTCATCTTTATGAAGGGGCTCACTACATCTTCCTCCCGCTGAGGGGCTGGGGTTCAAACCACTGACCTTTTCAGCCATGTGCTTAATCACTGTGCCACCAGGCTCCTAAGACTGTGTGTGTATATATATATACACCCAGTGCTGTTGAGTTGATTCCAACTCATAGTGACCCTACAGAACAGCACAGAACTACCCCCACAGAGTCACCAAGGCTGGCATCCTTACGAACGCCGGCTGCCACATCTTTCTCTCTCTAAGTGGCTAGTGGGTTCAAACTGACAACCTTTCAGCTAGCAGCCAAGTGCTTAACCATCATGCCACCAGGGCTCAGTAAATGTACCAAGGGTCCTTGCTGAGGAATCCTGTGCTTTGTCTGACAATCTCAGTAGTCCCAGCAGTGGGAGAGGGAACCCCACACCATGCTCCCTCCTTGCCCGAGGAACCACTTTCTATCCCCCTGGGGCTACAATGCCCTGCTTGGGTCCTCTTACCATCTCCTGAAGAACATCTGTGATTCTTTCCGAATGAACACATGCTGTTCATATGATGAACACCGGAACCCAACCCTCAGATATCGGGCTTGGATAGAAAGCCCACACATAGATATCAGTAAACTTGCTAAATACACCCTAGGGTGCCAGGCAATGCACAGAAGTCCCCTACTTTATCATCATAACCGGTCCACCACCATGACCAATCCATTTTATAGAAGCAACAATTAAGCAAGTGACAAAGTCATAGCCGGACAAGTCTTCCCTTCTTAGGCAGCCCACACAGTGAAGTATAGTGGTGCTGGGGGGCATTTCATTGAGTTGGTTCCGACTCATAGCGACCCTGTACAGGGTCCCCAAGCCTGTACATCTTTAGAGCAGCAGAAAGCCTCATCTTTCTCCCACAGAGCCACTGGTGGATTTGAACTGCTGACCTTGCACTTAGCAACAGCCCTACGTGTAACCACTATGCTGCTTACAGGGGCTCCATGGAGTACTTTAACCAAATCTTGGATACGGTGGCTCCCCCAGGTGGTCAAACAGTGACTGTTCCTGTCTGCTAACCGAATGGTTCGAGGTTTGACTCCACCCAAAAGTGCTTCAGAAGGGAGGCATGGAGAGAGATCTACCTCAGCAAAGTTATGGGGTCCAGTTCTACCATCCTGTAGTGTCATCAGGAGTGGGGATTAACTCAGAGGCATGTTAACAACAATGATAAGAATTGTTTGCAAGAGAAAGTATAATTGGTGACAGGGGAGACATCCAAAAAGGGTTAAAAATGAGCACATACTAGAGTCTCTGTGTGAATCCAGTCAGAACCAATTCAATGGTAAGCAGCTTACTTCAAAGTCGGCTGTTTGGTGAATGTTCATTTAGCGTGCATCATGATGAGACCAGGAGAACAACAGATTATTTACGGAAGGCTCCTCGCCCTACACAACCAACTTGACAGCACTAAACAACAACTTCTTCTAGAGGGTGACTCCTGTGGGCAAAGTCACAAAGGAGCTTCAGACATCTGTGGGGACACAGACACAAGAGGGTGTACTGCTGAAGACTCGAGAGGTCTGCTTCCCAAA